AAAATATATAAATTAAAAAAAAACCTATAAAAAATGAATATAACATATATAATTGTTGCACGAGCCAATTTGTAATTTAATGTTATTAAAAATGACCTTTCCATTTGAAACTGTAACTGCTGCAATGCTTTAAATCTGTCAAAAATTGATTTAGTTGGTGTATGGCACGCCCCCAGAAATGTCACTTCCTGCTTCTGTGATTGGCTGACTAACTTTCCCAGAAGTCTGCACTAAGATACAAGTATTATTTAGGAATTTCATTTTTGGTGAGATACTCCCTAAGGTTTATTTACTACTAAAGGGATGCCGACACTGTACCTTTCTTCGCTAGAACACAGAAAGTCCGCCAGCTGGTTATAATGAGCCCAGTATCAGGTTTTTTTTACCCTTCCTTGTCCAGTTACTTGCAGCATGGCTTGTGTAGTATTTCTGGCACCGTTGTTCCTCTTTGGCACCCTCTTATGAGCAAACCAGTTAACATCATCATTCAGCAACTACTTGCAAAACCTCTGACAAATTCCTGTCTCAGAGTGATGACAACCTCCAGCTCACTATTTATTAATCAACTTGTCCATTCAGTCACTGCACTTGCATTTGTTCTGCAATTGTTCCTGTTCTCCGTGTAGACCCTGATTCTGGCTGACTGATCTTCTGGTTCCTGACTCCAGCTATTGTTTGTGTTTTATTCTGCTCTCTGTGTTCCCTGACCTAGTTCGGCTGACTACCCGCTTTGGCATCTGACCTCTGGCTTGGCACTGATGAAGTCCTGGACTTTCTCCATTCTTTTTTGTCATTTATGTTTATTGTAGTTTTCAATAAACTACTTTTATTTTTTAAACCTGCACTTTAAGTTTCTGTCTGGTTTCTTGGTTCGTTAACACCCAGGCCCTTCCATACAGGAATCAGTTAGGAAAAGACATGGATAAACAAACAGTGTTTTCTTCATTACAGTGACAGGTATGAAGCTGCAACTACATTTGTTACAATCCTTATAATGTACTGTCAGGGTTCCACCTGGACTTTACTGGTTTGCAGCATTCTGGCTTGGCTGCCATTTTACTCACCTGTTTCCTTCCTTGCTTGAGCAGACTCTAGAACGTTGCTCATTACTTCCAGGCTTCCTCTTATGACCAGACAGAAGAGCATCATCTGAGTGAGTAAGATGGGAGTTTCTTGTCTCTGAGTGATGATGTCACCCCACTCACTATATATAAACTATTCAGTCCAGTCTGACCTTGCGTGGTCTTACCTGCTAGTGCATTCCTGCTGCTCTGAGTATCCTGATTCTGTGTATGACCCGATCCTGGCTGACGGTCTCCTCTGGCTCCTGCTCCTGGCTTTTTCCTGACAACGCTGATTTCCTGGATCGTTCCTGACGACGCTGATCTCTGTGTTCCTGACCTGGCTTGGACGACTACCCACTCCGGCTCCTGACTTTGGCTTGTTCCTGTTTAGGATTCTGCTTGCTCCTGTGGACACGGTTCTTAAAAAATATTTTAACTAGCACCTTTCGATTGTCTGGTTTTCATTGTGCTCTGACATGTACACAGATCACTCAGAGAGGATTTATTTTTTTTCTTAACAAAAGTGGATTTACTCTTTAAGGAGTACTCTATGTAGTCTTTTCTTTCTGTGATTGGTGAGTTTTATCCAGTTAAGGGTGCATGTAGCAGTGACTAGAGAAGTGAAAAGTTGTCTCTTTGACATCTCAGAGGAGACTGTAGATGAGACATTGAATGATGCTGGATCGCAGCACGGGTGAGTCTGCAGGGCACAACGCCAGAGAGTAAATGAGTATTGCAGTCTGAGCCAGATTTTTATTTTTAAAATATATTACATAATTTTTTTAATTAAGGAAAATTGGACTTCAAAACGGACCTTCACTCGAGAAATTCAGCTTCCACTATCCCAACCTTACTCCTCCACAGCATAAAAAAGTGAGCCTTTTTTAAAATAAGGTTTTACTTTACTTTACCTTTTTCATTCATAGTCGACCCTCCCCCCACCGCCACTTTTGTCAGGGGAAGAATGACATAAAGCCTCCTTCTGCAGCCTTCTGGGATACCGATGTTACATATCCAAGGAAGCTGCAGGAGGCTTCCTCACAGTTCCAGATGAATTGTCATTGTGGTGCTGCATCATTAGGGGGCCAGCTGCAAGAACCCAGAAGAGATAGCTGCTTCCTGATGAGAAATGAAACAAAGATGGTGGCACTGGGCCAAATTTTGCAATGGGAGAGAAAAGGTCAATACAAGATTTGTTGGGCTTGTAAGTAGAGGTGCACCGAAATGGAAATTCCACAAAACGAAACGAAACCGAAATAAAAAAAAATGTCAGACCAAAACCAAAAATGTTTTTTATTTTAATTTTTTCAAATATTTTATTTTAATTTTTTTTATAAACTTATTTTTTATTAAGATTTATTTTTATTTATTCATTTTTTATTAAATATTTAAATTTTTTACTAGAGTGTTCCTGTTTATTCATAACATGAGGACAGAGTATGTTTACTATAAACACAATCATGAATGAACAAGAGGTGATATAGATCACTTCCCATTCATTTATAATTGAGGATATAGTAACCATACTCTGTCCTCAATTATCTACAAACACTCAGCAATCACTGATCACTGAGTGTTTGTACCGCTCGCTCAGCCAGGCTGAGCGAGCGGTGCAGGGAGGAGAGCTCAGCCTCCTGTGACAGCGCGGCCTGTCTCCGCCCCCACACCACTCTGCCAGACTGTGATAGGAGGCTGAGCAGTGTGGGAGGAGAGACGCCGGCCGCTCACAGCGATCTCCTCCCGCAGCGCTCAGCCGGCTGTCACAGTTTATCTCCTCCCCGCTGGGACACAGAGCAGCGCCCAGCGGGAAGGAAAGAAAGCAGGGATGCGCTGTTGTATCGGCACAAATATGGCACTTTCGGCATTTAGCCAAAAGTGCAATTTTCAGTTGATATATTTCAGCGGCTGATATATCGGTGCATCCCTACTTGTAAGTATGTTTTTCCTGGATAAAAACCATCAAAGGTAAGTTGTATTTGTGGATGAAATGAATGAGAATGGGTGGGGTTCCTCTTTGAAATTACAGGTTTATGTTTACACACATTTCAATCTATAAATAAATAAATACAATCTAATCAACACTACTTACCCCTATCCCCACCCCTTAGCTGCTATATCTGTACAGATTCAGGTAATCAATGTGAAAAATATGATAGAGAACACAAATGCTTCTCAGTCAATATCACAAATTTATTAAAATCATAATAGCAGAAAGCAATAAAACATAACAATAAACTGTGCAATTCATAAGCACCATAAGTCTAATGATTGTGTTGGGGACAGTTTACACTAGAGACATCCAACACCTGGCAAGCAAAATCCACCCTAAAAAGGAACTTTAACCATATGTTCAAAATAACAACAAAGGCACCTTAAAAAATGTTTAGTAATAACAATCTACAAACAGATACTTATAGATAATTGACAGCTTTTTCATTTTTGCATACCTTATTTTTTTCTCCTCCCTATTCTTCTCAAGGAGGCCATTTTACTAAGGGCAGGTTACTAGATCTTCTTTTACTTCCTGGAACTCTGGCACATGTGAGCAGGACATGTGACCATGCACATCATCTCTGAGATCTCGTGAGATTTCAGATGAGATTTCCCAGCAACGCTCTGCTGATGTAACCTTCCCAGGATGCAACGTTTGGGCACATTACATTACTTGTGCCCAAGAAGATCAGGAAGTAGAAAAAAATAAAATGTAAGTAAAATAAAAATATGTTTGTTTAACTAGTGAATGTAAGATCATTTCATATCATCCAGCAGAGCTGCCTGCTGATGTGATTTTTAGTCAAGGTCCACTTTAAGGTAAATGGTGAAATCAATGAAGGTTCATCAGTTCATAGAGCTTATTACACTTGCTGATTTCCTTTCAACTTGAGTGATATAAACTCCTGACTTCACTTCCAAGTTGTGTGGGATAGGAATTCCTCATTCCATTTCACATACGTTATATTTTAAAAGAGTAAAGACAACCCCTGACATAGGGTAGCCACGTTTTTTATTTAAACATTTAAAAGCAAGAATAAAAACTCTCTTGTGCTGAAACCAGCGCTAGCGTAAAGCATGAATGCCGTAAGCTCTTGCTGCATGTACGTTGATGCAGTGGCGGAACTACCGCCGGTGCCGCCGCACCGAGGCCGAGCCTACGGGGGGCCCAGTATCTATTCAAACGCAGCCCTGGGGCAGAGATGGGGTGTTCGGCCGCCGGTTACCATCGGATCGGTATGCGGCGGGCCCCCCCATCTCTGCGCCGGGAGTGATCACATTGGCTGATGGGGCCCCTAAAAAGCGGTGTCATTGAATTCAATGCACCGCCACGCCCCAAAACGCGGGGAGAAGTTTCTTAGCGATCGTGGTGTGTTCCAGCAGCTACTGCTCTGGAACGCACACGCTTTCGGTGTGAACAAGCCCTTAGGGCTGTGTTTACAGTGTTCTGTGCACATAGTAATGCACCTGATAGGTGTGAAGGTCCGTTCACACCAAGCCCGTGATTAACGCACGGTACCTACTGTTTCTAATATTGCGACAGGTGCATTGCATTGCCATTTGTTTGGATGGCACACCAAACGCACCGCCCACAATGCGCTCGATCACACTGCGATGCTTGCATGCACTATTTGTGAAGCAGCCACATATAACAATTGATGGGATTTTTATTTGACATGTATTTTCATTCAGCAAAATGGAAGACTGAGAAAGTCTTTAACACATTTGAATGAACAGATAATACTATGACGTTGATGAATGTTTAGAAGCAATGACATTTGGAGTGGTGGACAGACACAAGCACAGCACACAGGAGGCCCAACCACACAGCTTTCCTTAGAAGGAAGGAAGGAAGTGCGCCACCACCACCACCACCGCCGCTCAATCAGTGCTTGTCAATGATTGGCTGATACTTCCGCAACTACATTTCCCAGCAAGCAGTGTGGTTTAAGGCCCTTCGTGTCTATGTTCCGCCGTCTCGCGAGGTTTGCTTCCGCCGGGTAATTGGTCCTCGGTAACTGCCCCGCTCTCCCGGTGGCTGTATTGTTGCCGTGCCACTTGCTTGGCTGCTGTAATCCGGTGACCGAGACCGGACTGCCCGGACCGGGGTTTGCAGTGTGCCGCCTCCGCCGCCCTTCTCTTCAGCTGCAGTGAGCCGCCGCCCTCCTGTCAGCCGACACAGACATGGCCGATCCCAAATACGCTGACCTGCCCGGCATCGTGAGTACCTAGCAGGGGCCGGGTCCTCGGTGCGGTGTGATGGGGGAGGGGGGCATTGGAAGAGCTGGCTGTACCCTAAGGGGGCATGTGTGCTGTGCCCAGCCATCCTTCTCCTCCCTTCCCCCACCCAGCCTGGCACCATCACTGTGACCCACTGATCAGTGTCTGATGTGCATATATAGCCTATAGTGTTCTTTTATCAGAAAATAGTGGCAGGGGTGACAGGCTGGAAGGGAGAAATCATGAGAAGCCATGGCTAGGACTGTGCAATGAACTTCTGTTGCTTGGTCTCCATGTCTGTTATTGTAAAACTAAAGTCCAGGCACATTTGTGGTTGTAAAAGTGTGGCGGGGGAACATTCAGGGCCGGTGATGTGTCGAAAGTGCGAACTTATCGAGTTGTGGGACCGCATTACTTCCGGTTTCCTCAGAACTACGAGGTTTTTACACAAAACATGTTGTGCACGAGCGCCATCCACGGCATTGCCCTATAGACATAGACCACAGCAATAAAGTAATAAAATGATGTAGGATGACAGTAAGCCAGCATGTTCTTTATCTCCGGTGCCCCACTCAATATGGCCGCCGCTTGAGTGGGGCACCTGAGATAAAGAACGCGCTGGCTTACTGTCATCCTACATCATTTTATTACTTTATTGCTGTGATCTATGTCTATAGGGCAATGCCGTGGATGGCGCTCGTGCACAACATGTTTTGTGTAAAAGCCTCGTAGTTCTGAGGAAACCGGAAGTAATGCGGTCCCACAACTCGATAAGTTCGTAGTTTTGATCGATCACCGGTACACACTGTGCGTTGACTGGCGCTTTTCTGCCTTTTGATTATCGCCAGTCACTGCAAGTGCACATAAAGAGCAATCATTTGTGTTCACACTGTAATGCTGCCTTCAGGTGGATTGCAGTGCGTTGTGGAAGAATGCAGACATGCTTCACTCTTCTACAACGTACCGGAGCTCACCTGAACTTACCGTGGAGCTGCGCTACATAGAAATGGCTGAGATGTCACTTTGACATTTCAATAAAGTTTAAAACAAAGTAAACAGCGTCTTGAAATGCAACACACATGGAACACAGCAGATGCTAGCCGCACCCTAAAGGTGCCCATACACTGCACGATTATCGTACGATAATCGTATGCGATCGGTTTTTCGTACGATAATCGAGCAGTGTGAACGGAGACGTGCGACCGTTTCTACTGTACGGTCGCACGTCTTCTGTCGAACCAGCATGTTCGAAAACCAGCCGGGAATCGTACGATTCTCGGCTGGTTAGAACGGTGCTCGGAAGACAAATGCTGAACGGGCCGGTGTGCACACGCGCACACTGCCCGTTCAGCATTGCGGTCATCGGAAGCCTGCCCCTCGGGGGTGGGCTTGCGATGATCGAGAGTGCGATCTGCCTGTCCAAGATAGGCAGATCGTACGTTTTTTTAATCCCTTTACAACCATCGCAAGACTAAGGTCTTGTGATGGTTGTACAGTGTATGGCCACCTTAAGACTGGTCATTTTACTGTGCTATGTACCCTAACTTGTGACACGTTCTCCAAAGCAAAACAAAAAAAGCATTTCAAGCTGAAGTTTACTTACATTTTTTTTTTTTTGTCGGGGTTCATTCACACAGACGCGGTGTGTGGTCACACAGTGTGAAATACACCTGTATATGCACGCCCAGGAGTGCTGCATTTTTATGTCTGTAGGATTGTGTGTACACAATACACTATACACGTGGTGGAAATGCAAGTACTGATGTTCATAAATGCGTGTGTACGGACGTTATTTCCTGAACACGAGCAGCGTTGATTCTTTCACTATTGCAGCAGGAGCAGTTAAAGGAGAACTATGAGGTGAGTGCTTTTCACTCACCTCACAGTTCTAGCCGACCTGTGACAATGAGACTGTCACAGGTCGGCTCAGTAGACCGGGAGGTGAGCGAACACATACCGGCGTCCGCTCACCTCTCGATCCTGTCATGGCTCTCTGCCGTGACGGGAGGGGCTGGATTCCCCCCTCCCCGCCCCGATCCACCAGCGCTGACTGGCGGAACGGAGAGGGGGCGGGTACAGCTGGTTTTGCCTCTAGATAGGCAGAGCCAGCTGTCAGTCACGCAGCTGGGCGGATCCCGGCAAAATTGTCGGGATCCGCTTCAGCTGCGGCGTCTCAGTATACTGTGCCTAGGGTGACGGGAGGACGCTAGTTTGTGTCCTTCTGTTACCCTAAGGAGAACTATGGGGAAAAGCCTTAACCCCATAGTTCTCCTTTTAAGTCGTACAGCATTGGAAGTTCACCGATGTGAGCAGGGGCACATTTACCGCGAGGCAAACAAGGTGTTTAAAACAAAAAAAGCGCCAGAGAGGACTGCTCAACCAGTACAAACCAATGTACACATAAAGTCAGAATCAAGGTCTGTTTAAAAATTGATAGATTAAATAAAAATTGGTGAATTAATAAAAAACACGTTTATAAAAAATGTGTGTCTGTAGGATGCTGCCCCAAATCAGCCAGGGAGACTTTAAAATCTAGGGAAAAAACACAAACAAGGGGCGCCTTTCCTGGTGCAGACAAATTTATTAAGATCAGGATTGAAGGTAAATATAAAACATACTCACAAAATTCATGATTGAAGTATAAAAAGTATAAAAATTAAGTCCATGGACCCAAGGAAAAGTCTATGAAAGCTGCACAGCCGTGTCTATGTGTCAGCAGAGGAGACTGTGTGATGTGTGATGACGTGTTTCCGGGGTCACGCCCCCTTCATCAGATGAATTTTCCTTGGGTCCATGGACTTAATTTTTATACTTTTCATACTTCAATCATGAATTTTGTGAGTATGTTTTATGTTTCATCAGATGAAGGGGGCGTGACTCCGGAAACGCGTCATCACACAGTCTCCTCTGCTGACACATAGACACGGCTGTGCAGCTTTCATAGACTTTTCCTTGGGTCCATGGACTTAATTTTTATACTTTTTATACTTAAATCATGAATTTTGTGAGTATGTTTTATATTTACCTTCAATCCTGATCTTAATAAATTTGTCTGCACCAGGAAAGGCGCCCCTTGTTTGTGTGTTTTCTCCAAACAAGGTGTTTGCCTGGAGTAGCACTTTGCAGGCTGGCTGATTTTTTGCTCCCTCCTGCAAAGAGGAAAGCCGGCAACGGACACACAAAATCAGGCAGCCTTGGCTGCCTAATCAGGTTGCTGCTGGTGGGGCCTGGCAACGACCTGCCAGGGCAGAGGGAGGCTGAAGCAGCTTTGGCGGCTCCAGGAGCTGCAGGTAAGGGCTCATTATTTCCCCTTACTTGGCTGTAAAGCTGCAGAAAAGTGGTGGATATGTGACCAATGCTGTCCTCATCTCCCATTTATTGCTGACCTGTGGGTGGAATTGAACAGTGCACACACATATTGGCTGTGATGTGTAATGCTGCTGGTGTACATCAGATCCTAGAATGCCCCATTTGTAAATGTCACTGCTCCACTTTGCACACAAGCTTGCTTAGGGCAGCACGAAACCTAAATACACCGCTGGATGTGAGGAGTTTCCAGCATCACCAAAGTAAGAATTTCCACACTAACCAGCATCCAGCAGGATGGAGGACACGCTTCATTAGAAGACGCTCCTTTCTGCTAAACTTCAGCTTTAAAGTGTATGTAAACATGGTCAGAGTTTCAGCTGCAGTTTCAACAGTGTATGGCCAGACGTACTTGCTGCTGTCCCATGCAAGCATCGGTGTCTGCCATAGAGCTCAGCCAGCAATTTACACATTCTTATTTTCTGTATGGCTGACCCATATGTGTGGGACTACAGGGTAGAAAAGCACAACACAGGGTTTAAACATTGTTGTAGCAGTCAATGAATAGTGAAAGTGCCTGCACACACTGAGGGCCCCTTCACATCTATGTGCACATTGAGGTGCATGTTACCACATTGGAGGCGATTTCATTGGGCTACAATCTCAATACAAATGGTTCAACTAAACATGAGATTGTAGTCCATCAGAGGAGTGAGCTTGGATTGGTGGGTACTTTACAACATACACAGGGACCATGGGGAACAAAAGTAGCCACCCTCCAGAAGGAAGGACAGTGTCAGCGCCAATTCAGAGAAGATTTGAGAATCTGCAGCCGAGTGATACACAAATAAGATACATTTTTGTTAATAGTAGGGATGCACCGAAATTAAATTTTTAGACAAAAACCGAAGTAAAAAAATTTGTCAGACCGAAACCAAAAATTACTCCCCCCAACCATGTTAAAATATTTGTTTTAATTATTATTATTTTTTTTTTAACTTTATTATTAGCGGCTGTTTAGGCCCCTGATGTTTCCCTTCTAAAATAAAAAAAGAGATTGAGGAGGCAGAGTCCTCAATCTCTCTTTTTTATTTTTTTTATTTTATATGCAGCCCCAGCACTCAATAAACAGAAAGCAATCAGTACACGAGCTTCCTGCTCATTCACACTCTGGAGATAGTAAATATTTACTATCAAACCAGTCATGAATAGACAGAACGCCTCTTTACTGAGCTGCTATTCTAATAATCGATTAGTTGGCCAATTATTTTTTTGATTATTTGGATAAAAAAATTAAATTAAATAAAATTCACGAAGGCAGTGTTACAAACATGAAGTTTACTTCAGAATATAACTGCATGCACATTTTTTTTTTGCAATCGCACTGCACTGGAACGCACGGCATCCTGGTACCGTGCATTCCAGTGCAGGCGATCACACTGTGGGTGGGAGGAGCGTTTGGGGTGCCATTGAAAAGAATGGCACTGCAACGCACCTCCCGCAGCAGAATTTCAGACTGAAATCGAAAACGACTTTTTGTCACCTTTTTTATATATATATTTTTTTAAATAATTGTACTGTAAGCACATCACACTTGAATAGCTTCAGCCAGGGAATGACAGCTACCAGTGGGAAGATTTCGTAGACGGCAGCTGAATGTAAATACAGCATGGCCTTAATGTAGTATATGACTTTGTGCGTTCTCCTATCATACCCTCCTGGTTATATCTACGGGAACATAAATGGGTCCCGGAGATTGAACACTTCCGATACCTCCAACTCCATCACTGGATCTCTACTTTGTTAAAGAGAAGAGACCCGGGCCGCTTACTTACTTGTTTTGAACATATTTGCCTACATTCTCCGGAAGGTCCGGGTCTGGGGGCAATCTTGTATTCTCAATTAAATAGACTGTCACACCACGCACACTTGCGTTGGTGGTTGCAACAGATTTGGACGCCGGAAGACTGGCGACAGGAATAGAGCCAGATGCTCTCTTAATGCTACGAATGCTGAGGTGGCATATATTTTGATCATTAAATGGTACCTTGTCCCGGCTCGGATTGCCCACCTGTATCCTACATCCTCAGGAGATTATCGGGGGTGCCGGGAACCTGGCAATATGTTACCGATCTTGTGGCAATGTCCGGTCGCTACCCGATTCTGGATCTGGATATACAGGTTGATTTACTTGCTTGTTCCATGCACACATTTCCAGAAACCTTTTAAATATGCTCTTTTCCACTTGTCTGTACCTGGGCTGAATAGTTCGCAACATGCTTTATCACACTTTATATTTCTGGCAGCAAAACTTACCCTGGCGGGCAACTGGAAAAAGCAGCAGGTTTCGTACATGGAGTTTGTCCGTAGGCTGGACAATATCCTGTTTAAATGATTGACTGTCTAGCATTTTGGAAGATAAACAAGACACATTTCTGAATACTTGGGAACCCTGGATTCTTCATCAACATGCCGTTGTGGACCTAACGAACTTCCGGGGTATCTAGGTGAACTGAGTGGTATGGGGAGGCGAGGGATCATGGGAGAGTGGTGAGCTGATCCTGTCAATATAAGACCCAATTGGTGGTTAAGTGTAGTGGTGTCCCTAATACTATCAGTAATGATGTCGTTGATATTATCTTCTTGTTTCTTTCTACTCTATTCTTTCTCATAACTGCTCTGCAGTTACCCCTTTCCTGGCCCTCCATATTACATTTTCACTGGTTCACCTCTGGATAGTGTCACCCAATTTATCTATGATGTATAGTGAACCAACGCTCCTTGGTTTATGGATTTGGATAGCAATTGTACTAGCTGTGTGATACTTCTGTATATCATCTGTATGATTGTTATGCCTTTTCACCACAATACTGTATTGGAGATGTCAGAAACGTTCTCTGTTTACATTTTGACAAAAACGTTAATATAAAATATTGCAACAGAAAAAGAAATGAGTTTAATAGATTATAAGCCATTTATGCCAAGGTAGACCAATAACAATAGGAGCACACCTGATTTGTTTACCGGTCCTTCCTTGTGTGAAAGTTGAACTGTATTCCATACACAGTCTTTGTCCTGTAGCTGTTGGCTGTGAGGATCCTCAGAACGCTACCTATGTAGAAACTTTGTCATGCTGCTTTTCCTGTAAGAGCTTTTCTTAGACAGTCTGTCTCATGGTTTGCCAAGTATTACATTACTCATCTCATCGTTCCTTCTTTTTGTTGAACGCTTCATATTATTAGCATCTGGGCGTTGGCTTATGAAGAACCCTGACAAGTGCGTTGACTGTTCTCTGGCTCTCAGTGAATCTGATTTTTATTTTTTTTGCGGACATCACTTTCAACTGGGACAATGACAACCGTACCAATTGCCATTACATGAAGAACTATAACTTGTACCCATAGGCTAGTATATTCTTGAGGTAGAAGTTGAACAGAATCTTCTGTCATATAGAAATGTACTTGTTCATTTCTCTTATTCCTGCCCACATGCTCTGAAAATGCGCACACAAGTCCACTGTATCTTGGAAAAGTGCTTAGCACCTCCAAACTCTCAAAGCGGAACTCCAGACAGATATAAAAGACGCACATGAATGCATCATTAAAGTGACATTAAAGGATAACAAAAATTTCCCTGCCCCCAATGTTAATGTTAGCACTTACCTTAAAGTGACATTAAACCCTCAGATTTTTTAACATAAACCAACACTGTAATGTGTGCCTTACTGTAATCCATGGTTGTTTCCCTTCTCTTTGCTGCTCTTCCTTTTAAATCCTCATGTCTTCTCATGCTGGGGGAGAAATTCCCTTTGCAGCTGAGTGCCCCTTCCTGTAGTGCTGGCTCAGGTTGTGAACCTATACACAGACGCCATGTATCCATTTCAGAGACAAGGCAGTCTGCTGCAAAACAGAAGTTCTGCCCAGCAATATTATATATTACTAATTTTCGCACGGGACTGCGCACGGAACACAGGTGAGTCTAAACTGCTGTTTGAGCGGGTTTAAAAAAAAAAAACTTTTTGCATATATCTACTGCTTGCTAGCAGTAGATATATGCAAAAAAAAGGGAGGGTTTAAATATCCTTTAACTATTCACAATAATGTGTCTTATTTGTGTATCACTCAGCTGTAGATCCTCAAATCATCTCTGAATTGGTGCTGACACTGTCCTTCCTGCCTTTGTAGCATTTGTTTAAAAAAAATAAAAAACCATTGTGCTTTAATGTAACTTAGTCACTTTATACCAGGTAGAAGCAAATTTCTGTTACTGTCTGGTAGTGAGGAAGCTTACTCGCTCCTTCCTGCACATTCTTCTTGGCCACTAAGGCAGTCCACCATAGTAATGGGTAGAGGTGCACCGAAATGGAAATTTTAGAAACGAAACCGAGGGGGGGTGTGGCTTACCTATGGCGGCGGCTGGACGTGTTTAACTGAAGCTCCCGCTCCATCCCCGAGTTGCTCGTGACACAAGGACACTTCGCCGGACTCCCTTGCTATCCTCATGGGGGGGAAAAGAGGCCAAAAGTCGGCCTCAGCCAAGAGAGCGAATGCGGGCTCACTCAAGCGCCTATGGGCGGCGGAATCCCCGCCGGATGATCGCGGGGCCCTGCACGCGCCTCCAACCCTCTCGCCAGCGCGGCCTACGAAGGCCTCTACTCACCATCACCGGCCTGAGCGGGATGATACTTCGGCCCAGTCGGAGGCCGAGGGCTCGGATGACGGCTCTGAACTGTCGACGGAGGCTGATCGAGCGGTGTACGGAGGAAAGCCCAGTCTCCTGTGACAGCGCTGTCTCCGCCCCCACACCGCTCTGCCGGACTGTGATAGGCGGCTGAGCGGTGTGGGAGGAGAGACGCCGGCTGCTCACATCGCTCTTGTCCTGCAGCGCTCGGCCGGCTGTCACTTTCTTTTCTCCCCGCTGGAACAGCGCCCAGCGGGGAGAAAAGAAACCAGGGATGCGCCGATGTATCGGCCGAAACATGGCTCTTTTGGCATTATGCCAAAAGTGCAATTTTCGGCCGATATGTTTCGGCGCCGATATATCGGTGCATCCCTAGTAATGGGCCAATAGCAGTGTGGGGAAGAAGGAAAGCGCCGATGCAACCTGAAGATGTCAGAGCTTTCCCTCTTTAGAATGGCTTGGCAATAAAAGCAGCTGCACTCTTGGGTAACTTTTAAGACAGTAAGCAGTGTAAATGTACTTAATAATACAAAGACATTAATGAGATTTTCTGATTTTTTTAGGCTAGGAATGAGCCAGATGTTTATGAAACAAGTGATTTGCCCGAAGATGACCAGGCTGAGTTTGATGCGGTAAGCCCTTTTATGATTTATCTTGGATGAATTCTGTTTTTATTCTTGTGTTCTGCTGGAATTTATGACAATTATTGCTGTCTCAAACAGAGATAACAAATCTCTTTCAGTTGTATATTTAACAGTCCAAAAGGTAGCTAATAAGAGAAGTTCATAGCGGAATGCTCCTTTCCGGCATGCCATAGCTGGCTTTTGAGGCTAGCTTCACATCTGAGTGATCTGTGACCACGTGGCAATTGTGCAGAAAAGCGCACGGGTTGCCGGGCGGTCACAGGGTCGCCCACCACAGCTGATCTCGCTGGCGGTGCTATTTTCTAATGGCACCCCAGTCGCGTGGGGTCCTGAGACGCGCATCCTGGGTATCGCTTAGATCTGAACCTAGCCTTAGAGCTTTGCTGTGGGTAGGCGGTTTTGTCAATCACCATAATGTGGTTGGGTGGGGGGGTGGACACAGGCACCTAATATTTATGCGTGTCATGGGCTAAGCTGCATATTAGCTGCCATGGAGAGCAAACAAAATTAAAGTACTTCTGTATTATTTGTTATTTCATCAGCTCCTTCTAGTGAGGGGTAGATTTATAACTCTACCACCCAACGTATAGTTCATGGGTGGGCAACTCTGGCCCTCCAGCTGTCGTGGAACTACAAGTCACATGAGGCATTGCAAGACTGACAGCCACATGCATGACTCCCAGAACCAGATGCATGATGGGATTTGTAGTTATCATACAGCTGGGGGGCCAGATTTGCCCACCTCTTTATAGTTGGACTGCAACTAGAGGGCGGTGAGGAGCATAGAAAATTCATATGCGCCTCAGCACCATCCAGTGGTGGTTGCACCGTGTGAACGGCTTTACGCTGGGCAGAAGAGTTATAAATCAGCCCAGTAGTGTCCTGATTTTGTCTTAGACCTGCTGACAGCCATGAAACCCTGGAAGGGAGCAGTGTAACCATTCCTGTGTAACCATTTAGTGCAACACTCGACAAAACTGGGGTGTAGAGATTCTTAAAAACACTCCTTGTCCAAAGACTAAAGCGGGAGAGTCTTTGAGAAAGAAATGTTAACATGGCAAATCAGGGCACATTCAGCTGTCTATATTCTCTGCATTGCACCAGCATATGTCATGTACATTTGGGTAAGTTATCAACTGTTCACTGCAGTAGGTTTAGTGCTTTCTATGTCATCGCACAGTCAGTTTTATAAAATAGCATGATAGACTGAGCCAATATTACGTCCAACAAATGCACTGTTATCAAGGCATTTACTGAAAAGAACATTCACTTTTATTGCATTCACCTTATTTAGGTACACAGGACTTGTAAGTGATGCTTTACATCAACATAATGTCTGGAGCTGATGCTGGTGTGTTGCTGTAAATTGTCACAGCTGCTTGGTTTCCAACTTGGATGTCACATTCACCTCTCACCTTATGGCTGTTACTTTACTATTGGTAAAGTCTGCAAAACAGTAACCCTAAACACCTAGTTAATTCAGATCTACCTCATGTGGCACATTTATGCAAATGTTCTAAAAAAGTCTGTACTATGGGCTCAATTCACAAAGCTGTAACGCAAGACAAGGATCTTTTTCAGCCACGTGACTGTCATTTTTCAGGTCTCATCAGACTCTATTGAAGAGAACTCATTTGAAAATAAGGATTTTTATTGTGATTTTTAGATTTGTGAATTGGGCCTTATGTGTGGCTAGACAATTGCTACGTTACATAGATATATAGAATAAAATATTACAGTAGATGGATAGATTAGATTGATACATAACATAGATGGATAGATAGTATAGATCAATATATTAGATTTATACGATACATAGATATCAGACTTTTCATGATTCAGAGCAATTTGTATTTACAGCCTCAGGATCCTTCCAGTTAAATCTCAATTGGACCATAGGTAGTAAATACTTTTTTCCTATGCTGCTCTGCTCCATAAATTCAATGTTCAGCCAAAACCAAAGTTTAAATATCTTACCTCTTATGTTTAGAAATCAGCCGCATTGTCAGTAAAACTGCTCATGTTCCTAGGTGATTGTGGAGCTGTAGTTGTGACGAAGCCTGTGAGAATATCAGACTGCTGCGAAGAGACTGCTGCTTTTATATAGAGCTGCAGCTAACGATTATTTTCAAAATCGATTAGTTAGCCGATTATTAAGTTCGATTAATCGGTTAATCGGATAAACTATAAAATAAAGTTTAAAAAATGGCTCCAGTGATAGGACTACTAGTTTGTATTAAGGGTTGTAGTCCATCACAGGAGCAAGCTTGGACCGGTGGAAGTAAAAAAGAAAAAAAGATAGTGTGGTGTGCAATATAGTGAAATGGAAAGTGTAAAATTATACAGCAATGCATGCAGAATGGCACCGGCTATAGAGGACTACAAAACCCAGCAAAAGCACATTATACAGCGCAATGCAGAATACCGCCAGCTATAGAGGCATACAACAAATCCCAGCAATAGTACATAATAGTTGGCGGCATTCTGCATTGTGCTGTATAATGTACTATTGCTGGGTTTTGTAGTCCTCTATAGCTGGTGGTATTTAGCATTGAACCACTTTATAATGTATTATTGCTGGGATTTGTTGTACTCTTCTACAGCTGGTGGTATTCTGCATTGCGCTGTATAATGTATTATTGCTGGGACTTGTAGTCCTCTATACAGCGCAATGCAGAATGTCACCAGCTATAGAGGAGTACAACAAATCCCAGCAATAGTACATTATACATACAGTGTATAATGTATTGCTGGGATTTGTATTCCTATGTATAATATACAGCACAATGTACCATCAGCTATAGAGGAATACAAATCCCAGCAATACATTATAGAGCACCATGTGTGGGAAAGTGCAGGCTTACCTGAGCAGTCTTCCAGCAACTTGCTTCTGAGATCGGACCTGTCTATCGGCGGCTGTCATCCCCCCACACCTGCTCCTCCTTACTACATCTCCCCGCGTCCCTGTGCCGATCGTGGATGGGCAGGAAATGTGAGGCGGAGAGGAGGTGCGGCGTGTGGAGCGTGGATAAGAGCGGGTCTGGCAGCGGCGAGCGTGAGGTGGGGAGGAGGTGCGGCGTGTGGAGCATGGATGCGAGTGGGTCTGGCAGCGGTGAGGTGGGGAGGAGGTGCGGCGCACAGTGTGTGGAGCTGTGAACAGGGCCAACTGATCGGAAGCCGATTAATCGATTATTGAAAAAGTTGACAACTTTTTCAATAATCGATTATGTCGATTAGTTGTTGCAGCCCTACTTTTATACAGAGAACAGCGGCTCTTCGCTACAGACTTGGTGAAGGACAGGTTGTTTGTTTTGGAGATGATTTTTTAATGATAAGAGGAAGGATATTTGGCAAATCGTTTTTGGCTACTTACGAAATTTATGGAGCAACTTATAAAAGCTTTGCCCACAATATATAGTGCTGGGTGAACGCCGTTCACATGGCATTACAGCAGCTAGTCAGCACCAAGGAGCATAGTAAATTCCTATACTCTTTCTAGCGGCTGTAATGCTGTGCGTACTGCCCCTTATAAATAACCGAAGTTTTCTGAAAAGTTGAGTTGGTCCTGCAGCTGCTCTCCTGATTCTGGTGCATTTGATCATTTAAAACTGTTTCCAGAATACAAGAATGCCTGCCTGCCTTCCTTGCTGTGACTGTTGTCTCAGCCTTGTCATGGATGGCAAAGCTTCTCCCAGATGAGTGAATTCTTCTGTAAACTGTTCAACTAGAACAGGGGTAGCCAAACTCCGGCTCTCCAGCTGTGGTGAAACTACAAATCCCATCAGGCATTGCAAGATTCTCACAGCCACAGACATGACTCGCGGAAAGAGATGCATCATGGGATTTGTAGTTTCACAAGGCCGAAGTTTGGCTACCCCTGAACTAGAAGCTCTTTTTTTTTTTAAGGGATGATTTAAACATGTCTGCAGGGACGCTTTAGCTGGATGTAAGAACTATTTGAAGCCAGGGAAAGAATCCATTTACCAAAGTTTGCAATTCTTTTAGTTTGTACTCTAAAGCTTTTGTTTAGAATTACAGTATTCTTGAAACGTACCGTAAATAATCTTTAATCCAGCAGCCATTAATACTGTTTATGATATCCTAAAGCAAAAGCTGTAATTAAATTGCTGCAAGTTCTGAGAGTTAAAATACCATCTGTGAAGTTGTGTAGGCTTCATTACTAAATGGATGCAAAATAGCTGAAAGTTAAAGTGGGACCTATACATACATATACGCTGGGGAAATAAAAAAACAAACCATAAAGTTGCTTTGGTCTTCCTCCTGTGCAGGTCTTATTGGCAAAAGGCTATTTGTGCTAAAAGGGAGGAACAGTGAGTCCGAATTGAATCCTTACTTTTAGCAGAGGTCACATGACCAGGAGCCCAGGCCTTTGGTCATGTGAACAGCATTGGAGAGAAATTGGTCTTCCATTTTCACCAGAAAGGTATTTTATGACCTTTTTTAAATTACTTTTAGTTTACCTAAAACAGCAAGTCTGTTATATCTGCCTGTTCAATGTTTTAGTGTAGATCCAGTTTAATTTGGGTCTCTATTTTGATGTGTATATATCACAAGAAAGTTGGCATTGCCATATACTTGGTTAGGGTTTGCTGTGGAACAACACGAAGTTGGGTTTTGACATTGCTAGATAAGAAACCTCATACAAGTTGTAATTATTTCAATGTTACATTGGCCGAATGGCCTTTTGATCATTACTTGCTTTGGGATGTCATAGACTGGCAGTATGATGAATTGTTCTGACATTTTCACTGTTGCTATGAATGTTCCTAACACTCTCGCCCTCCCTTTTTGATCACCTTGCCTGGATACTAGTTTGCACAAGTAAGACCACTCACGCTTCCTATTTTGCATGCTTTGAATGTACAAATAATTGCATGCACTCAGATTTGTGTAATTGCAGCTGATTTTACCGATCCTAGTCACTGTTTATGTCATCGGTGAAGTGTTGAAACCTTTTTGATTCAAGGGGCTCGACAATCTAGTTTTTTTTTTTTTCTGATTAGGATGATTTCAGTGTGGATTTAATGGTCAGCAATCACATTACATAAAATGTAATCTTGAAATGAAAACTGAGATTTCCCTGTGTTGTGTCTTGTTTTTTATTGTTGTGGTTCTATTGTAAGAATCTTTTTACTGTAAATCAGTCTGAAACTGATCCATTTAATCACTGAGCTAGACAGGGCAGCGATCGAAACATTGTCCATTTTATTTTCCGGTTGAGTGCACTCCAACCAAATAATGAGCGTTTTTCCTGTGTATGGCTTAATGGCAGAAATATGATCATTGTTGTCAATAGCTCAGATTTCAGCCTTCATAAACAGGTTCTTATAGTTAGATAATAGAAGAGATGTTTAAGCTGGCCATACAATGGTCGGCTTTTGTACAAACGCTCATAAGAAAAAACATTTGTCAGAACATTTATTAACGACCTTAAAGACTTTAATTTGAACATTCAATTTTGGAAGGAATGGAGTTTCTTGAACAAAAACCACATTCACTGTTCGAATTCCATTCATTTAAGAACATTTTTCCATTCTGCTCCTTCGATCCTTTTTTTTCCCCCCCACACTGTGGCCAAAATAGATCGAAATTGTTTGGACCCCATTAACTATTAGAAAATCAAATGAACATTCCGAAAACAATTTGTTTTTATAAATGAGCATTTTACATCTATGGGGTACAAGTCCCTGGTTATTTTGTATTGTGGATTCATCAACAGTGCGAATCACTGTAGGGATGCATTAGTCCTTGTTGCCTGCATACCCAGAGCAGGATTCTAAAACGGCATCTATTATATGCTACTTTACCATGCAGTGTGTGTTGTTTTATGTGTGTCCTGCTCATTAGTTAATATGAAGGCTGTTCTTTATTAATGGTGAGGCTGGGCTTGGTACAAACCTTTGGGGCATATAGCTGTGGGACAGGGGATGCGCATCCCTGCAGCTAATTGAGTGAGGTGGAGGAGGTGGTCCGTTTTGGGCAGCTGGGCACGCACCAAGCTCAACCTCCTTACAAATGGTTATCAAGCCTAACTCCAGCCAAAACTTTGTAAAGGTCACAACGCTTATCAAATTTTAAACCCTGCTTTCCCATAGAAGATTTTCTTCACTTCCTGTTCTGTCTTGACACCTGTCACATGGACAGTAAATGAGGAGAATTCTCCCGAGGAGGGCCACAGAAAGCACTACAATGCTGATCAAGGCTCTAAACTTTCCTCATTCTTCTAGAGAATGTACTTTATTACTGCTCATATCCCCATTGGGTGGATTTCCTCGCACTTGTGTTGTCTGATATCTGTTTAATACACAGGAAATGTACTATAGCAGCCACCATATGTATCATACTATTCCAAAGTAGCTACTTTGTTTTACATGGATTACAAATGTACTTGTACCTACACTAGCAGAACTGTGTGTTTTTTTTGTTTGTTTTTTTTTGGTGTTTTTTAGTATAGCAAAATGTTTATGGTTTTTTGTTTTGCAATTCTTTAATAATACATACCAGTCCAGCCACCGGCCACTCCAATTTTCACCAATCTTCTCCATGCTACAACCGCAGCGTGCGCCATGCTATGGACCCCCCAGCTTTTATGTCAGTAGTGTGTCTTTGGCCACGATGTCACTAGCGTGTCCCTTCCCTTCCATGGGTGCTGACACAGGGAGATGCAGCAGTCAAACACACCCTGAGCGTTCCAGTAATTGGTGTTCCTTTTGCTACTGAAGGTTCCTTTCACTAGAGGAGGGACTGGTAAGTGTTTTACTTGTACAGGATGCCTTTTTTCAGCAGTTATAGTTTCCAAATGTATAATATAACAGTACCAGAAGTCTGCTGGACTCCTCAGACACATTGGCTGTTTCTTTTATATTTTTTGCAATTCATATTGAATAAATTCAAGTAACAGGAAAATAACGACTCTCCAGGGAGACAATCTCAACCTAAAGTCTTGATCAAGTAAGCTTACATAAACAATACACCAATTCCAAAAGAAAAAGTATTGTGTGTATCAGCACATTCTAGCACCAAGAATCGCTCAAAACATCCATAAAATTTTCTAACGGTATGAGGAACATTAGGCAATGAGAAGGTGCATCCCAACATAATAAGTAAACATAAAGAGAGTTTATTTCTCCTGCAAGAGAGCGAAATCAGAGCTAAAGAAACAGAAGGAAATGGGAAGAACATAATCGAGAAACAGACAACAGAAGGACAAACAATAGGAGGCATAGGAAGAAAACAATGACCGCAAGGACAAGATACCAAGAAGTCATCCCCCTGCGATCCTGGCCACCAGTAGTCCCAACTCCAAAGGGATCCAACCCGGGAATATACACACACAAATATGGAAGCCACAATGTAGGGATACAGGCTCTGGCGCAGCAAACAGGTGAATTGATAACAATCATTTGTATTTGGCAGTTGGTCATATGTAAGAGGTCTCAGGATTGCATCCCAAATCCTTCATACAGATCTGTTGGACCATCGTGCGAAACGACGCCCAAAAGGGGTGAAGTTTAGTACAGTACCAAAATACGTGAGACAGCGTTTCCAATTCCGAATTACACCTCCAATAGACCTAGGGATTATTATCATGCATCTTGTGGAGAACTGGGACCCTATACCATCTAGATAAGTTTGTAATCTTGTTCCTGGTGGTGGATTGCAATGGAAGCTTTGTGTTCAAAATACAAAATGTTTTCCTTTTGCTGTGGTGAGAAACATTGGCCCAACTCTGATTCCCATTTCTGAAGAAAATGGGGGAAAGAATCATGTGGGGGAGAAGAAAGAAGCTTGTAAACTACTGACACAACGTGACGTAGCGGTTGCCCCCGGTGACGCATGTCACCAAAAACATTAAAGGTCTATTTTGGAACCACTGAAGTCGAATGGAAAAAAAGTGTCGGAGCAGTAGCAAACTCCATGCACACAATTGAGGATTTGTGATGGACTGGAAGGTGGAATGGGGCAGCCAATTCTGTTCAGAGACAATATCAAGCAAGCGATACTTATTGGCGAGATCCTACCTGCGGAATCACACGTCTTCCACTACCGGCAAAAAGTCCGGGTTCCCTATCACCGGAGTAAAGGGAGAAATAGTGGAAGACCTAAATACTCTTCTGGCAAGCCGAATGGTGGGACCAATAGTGGGGTGAGCAGCAATATGTTGCGGTAGAGGGGCTGAAAGCAAGGGAAGACCCTCCTGGGGAACTGGGTACTCGCCCAACTCAATAGTGACCCGTTGCTTTTGCGAACGAGAGTAGCACCAGTCTACAATTCTTGAAACATGGATGGCTTTGTAATACAGGGATATATCCGGCAGACCAATGCTTCCCTTAAGTTTGGGGAGCAAAAGTAGTCTTGGGTGTCTTATCTCCTTCCAAGTGCCTGCACATTGTAGATTGACTTCTGAAATGTACATTTTACCAGCCATAATGTATTTGTCTCTGCAAACCACCCCAAAACATTTGAAAAACCCAACTATCTCTCATTGTGATCTGATCATTATTTAATGGGGGGAAAAAATGCCCAGGAGCGTGGAGTCATAGATGTGGCTTCAGATACTCCCCAGCTCTTATGTCCTTGCACAGATTCAGACAATATCATTTTACGCTGCACTAAGCTATAATCTGATGCCTCTGACACATGGACTAATTTGTTTCTGCAGTATTTTAGAGGATTATTGCTAAGAAGGGATCAAGACAACAGGAAATGAATGTGCATCTATCCTGAAATTATCATTTCAAACATTTTTCTTTCCGGTACGCTGGAAGCATTCAAAATATGCTAGAAAATGCATTTCATGTGAATAAAGGACATTTCCTAAAGATAATTAATCAGGAATTGGATTACTTTTTTTACTCAAGATGCTAATATTTATAGTTGACCTGTCATTAAAATTCATACTTCCATAAACCTTTGGGACGTTGCCTTATCTTAACCATGTTTTGTAAATAAAAACCAAAAAATTGAAAAACTAAAAATTGAATAATAAAACAAGATTTTACATGCATAAGCTTCCTACATTAGGATTCTTAAACCAGGGCTGGATAAATCCTAGGGGCCGCCAGGTAGCCAATGCTCCTTTCAAAATTACAGCTGGCGCCCAATTTTTGAGGTTTTCTCTAGTTGTCAGTGGAGTGGACTCCTAAACATATATTCTGCTGGCTCCTGGATTGGACAGACTTGCTTCTGAATTCTATCAATTGTCCACCCCTGTCCTAAGGTGTCTTTTTTTCCCCATCTTTTTGGTCTTGCTTGTCACCGCGTGTGTTCCCTGCATGTCTATAGACAGATATAAATATATGAACTGTAGTTATGTATGAAGTCTTCTTGGAATGAGAGGTACCAGGGTGTAAAATTGTTATGATTTTGTCATATTGCTTTGCTAAAAAACAGGCTGTTTACTTGGCAGTGTGAATGTTCACTTTAAAAAGTCATCGATGGCAAATAAGGGGTTCCTGCTTTCATCATAACAGACTATCTGCTGGTATTTGGGTATTTAAATTAAACCCAGCTTTATCTAACTTAAGGTGGCCATACACTGTGCACATTTTGGCTGGATCTTGAGGAACTGGCCGAAATTCGCACAGTGGGTGCTGCGGTCTGTATCCCTTTCGGTGAGCATCCCTCGATCAGCTGGTTGAAGGAGGCGGTCGGAAAATCTTCATACGAACAGAGCTGGCAGTCAGCTCTGTTTGGGTACTCTGACCCAAACAGAAACAACGGGACTCCTCAATTAACATGCTTGTAGCGTTGATGGCGGAATCTGCTCTATTTTTTCCGTTCAGCTTGTGGGTTGAACAAAAAAATAGAGCAGCGTAAGGCCAGCTTTACCAAGCTCAGTGAATGATCACTTTGTAAGTGAGCAGCCTGTATTGCTTTAGGGTAACCCCAGGAGAAACAAAACAGTGAGATCAAAATATTTTTCTAGATTTTTTTTTTTTTTTTTTTTTTTGGCATAATTTTTAACAGACCAATATTTGTGTGTGCCCCCCATCATTCTTGTCTGGCCTGAATTGCAGTTTTAACAACGTCATAACAAATTTGCTTAAATTTCACATTGCAGAATTAACCTTAATAGACTCTGAATAATGTTTTGCTTCCTTAATAAATTGCTTTTGCCATACAGCTTACATTGGCTAATTTGCATGTCCAGCAAACCAACTAATATTCATAGCACGTTCATCTGCACACCAAGATTAGACTCATCATTATGGGGACAGAAGTATCATTTAGGTTCAACTACGGGCCACATGTTGCCTTCCTGGTCTGCCCATGTGGGCTGGAACACCAAAAAAAAATAGCATACAGGTGGTAAGGAAAGTAAGGTTTCCGTTTAATTCAGTGCTGAGTATTACTGGTGCTGCAATGTTACCACTGAGCACTACTCTTTCTACTTTTTGCAGCCAACTTTACATAATGTGTACAATGGTAGGCATACACGGAATGTCAATTATTTTGCCTTCCTGTTTTCCTAAAAAAAAAAGTGGGTAATTAGAAAGCCAACAAAGGCTGCCTGGGAGGGAGGCTTTTTAAATTGAACAGGTTGTAGGCTGGGTGGAAAATGCATTGGCAAACCCCTACAAGCCATTTATAAGGAACTCTTTCTAGTCTGGATCTTCTACCGCAGGTACTGTGAGCTAATTGTAAAGCTGTTGCATGTTTAATTGTCTGATACCAGTTTTCTTTCTTTTTATTTGTAACTATTTGTTTTATCTTTCTCTCACCTCTTGGGGAACACTGCAAGGAGCTGGTAAGAAGCCTGCTGTCTGATTCCCTCTGTGCTCTCACTGTGGCTTTTTTGCTGTTTTGCTTTCATGTTTTACTAATACTGAAATTTAAATGCAGCAAATGTGATGTTTGAAAACATGGATTTAAGAAAATAATTTCCCCTCACTGCTATTTTTTATTTTCTGTATTATTATTCGTCCTACTAGTTCAATCTAATTTCTATAATTTTGACTGGCTGCATTCTTTATTTATCATCTCTCTGGCTGCCCTTTTTTTTTTTTTCTTTATTAGCCTATATTCCTTTTATGGTTTTCAATCATCCATCTAGCTATCAGCTACATTCTATTTTATATGATCTTTGACTGTAATTGCAAACACTAAGTGCTTCAAAATCTTTTAATTACATTTACTTTTTCATATTCAAAAGGTTTTATTGGGGTTTTCAAAGTATAACATGCAATTACAAGGCAAGGTCATAGGAGCAATAACAGTGCATTTCATCTAGTTAGAGGTTTGATATGTAGAGTGACTAGTTCAGGTTCAAGTTCAGTACACATGATAATTATTGTCCCAATGGGTTCTTGTTTTCACCTTGGTTACTGGGAAGGTATCAATTAGCCAGGCTTTCACAATGGTAAGTTTAGTTGCTGTGAGGACATGAAGCATGAGTTTAAATTGTGGCGTTGGAGGTTTGAGATTGAGAAGGGCCTTTAATGGGTTTGCAGATAAATGTGTCCAATGAGATCAAGAGTATCCTATAAACGCATACCCACAAATCTCATGCAATTGGACATGTCCACCATGTATGCAGGAAGGTGTCCTTATCAGAACTTCCACGGAGGCACCTCCCGTGGTTCCCTCAGACAAAATGTTCTAGTTGAATGGGTGCCATGTACCACCAGTATAGTAATTTAGAATTGGTATCTAAGGCTTGAGCGTTTTGCAACCAAATGTGGGCCCACACATCAGGTTTGATAGTGCTGTTAAGATATTCCTGCCAATGTTGCATGTAGGCATGGTCAGGTCCCATTGGTCGTACAGCAAGGATATTATGCCCAGTGAGCGTGGGTCTTTGCATTTAAGCTGAAAGGGTGTTTATGGCAATGTGCCTGGTGGTTTGTGAATGAGGGAGTTAAAAAAAATGGTTCACTTGTATCTGTCTGAATATTTCCAAGGCAGGGGGTTTATAGGCTGTTGGGAGAGTTTGAAAGGACTTCACGCCTTTCTTATCTAGCAACGGGTGGAGGTGTGTGAGTTTCTTAGCTATCCAGTGTCAGAATGCACCAAGGGCTTCCATCCCAGGAGGAAAATAAGGGTTCCTGAGGAAGAATAACAGAGGTTGGGTGGGGAGACATGACTCCTCCTGAGTATTTAAGGGAGTCCCACAGTTTGAAGAAGTAATTGGATTCTGCTTGCGAGAATTGTCCTTGGGCAGAAGCCATAGCAGGTTGTCAACAGCTAAGAGACACTTTAAGGGCAACCCACATGGCATTACTTTTGATTAGTACTGCTCTGTAATTAGGAATATTTTAAAATAAGCTGATCTGGGCATTTCAAAAGAAGCATATTATGATAAAATGTACTTTGAGTGTAAACCACATGTCAAAGTGATCAGTAGACCTAGAGAAGGAGGCAGCTAAAGATGTATGCTGTTCTTGAACTCGGTTCCACACCTACCTCCCCTACTTGCCGAGTTTCCCTATCGCCTACCCTAATGGTGGCAGTCCCTTTAACAAATAGGGAAGGCAGGAGGAATAGGATCAAACTCCAATGTTTACAGGAAAAATTGAGATTTATATACAGTTAGAGCTAAACAAGACTTTATTTTCACAATCTAGTGACTGCATTTTTGTAATACATAGGCAAGTCCTGGCAGTCATTTTTTGGGCGTATCTCACACCCAAAGCCCTCAAGTGGTTAATTAACAATAGACAGACATTTGTTGAATTAGAAGGGTCTGCATGAAAACGTCTGTGGAATGAGTATTGCTTCATAACGTCAGTGGGTCAAAGGAAAATGAAAACAACTAAAATCTGCAATACTAACCTTCCCTCCAGCAAAGCCACTTCCTGGAACTCTCTCGCTGTCCACAGACTAGTTTTCTCCCAGTCTTCTTCTAGGTTCAGCATCTTTAGCCATCTTAATTGACCAGTCTGGAATGATGTAACTCCTGCACATGCGCACGAGAGTTAATTCATCCAGGGACTATGGCAGGCTGATTATGTACATCAAGCTTTGAAGCTCCGTGTACATTCTGAAGAGGTATGCAAACAGGGAAGGTGAGGAGATTTCATTGCAGAAGATACCTAGCATGTCTCTTCTGCAATAAAGTAGTCTTCCTACTCACAATTTATTTTTCAAAGACAAACTTCCAGTTTAATGAAGACTTTCTTGTCCTTCAGAGATCATGTGAGCTCAGCCATGAGTCACACCCATGCCTATACACTGGGGTGTCCATAAACCAGGTTTAATCATTTGTTTCTTTTTTCCAAGTTGTGTCTAAGCATTCCATCATGCAGTTGTTTGCTTTCCATCTTATTTTTCTAGGAGAAGAAAAGGAATCCCATTGTTTTAGTTTACATATTTTCTTAAATCCTTGTAAACTGCAGTCACCTCATATTGTACCCTAATGTTCATGATAGCTTTCGTCTGCGGCTCTTGTCCCCTCTTTGCATGAATATTTACTTTGTTGCGTTGACATATTTAGAATATAACCCAATCAATAAGTCTTGTCTGCTAATATTCCTTTTCTAGGAATTCATGATTTACACTTTCGACTGACATTTGATGTTGTCTGCTGTTCCAATCTAAATCTTTTACATTATTTTGTGATCTAAGGGGGCTTATTTAATAATGTGCTAAATACATTTCTTATTGGTAAGTATGGTTCAGTACATTTCCTTATTAAATAAGCCCGCTAGACCTCTGAACATTCTGTGCGTGCTCCTAAACATCTTCCTTGTGCCAATCAACTTAAAGCACTGAAATGTTTTACAATCAGATTAAACAGTAACACTATTACACGCATATAAGATCCAAAAATCTTTATTTGCAGGTAATGCCATGATTTGTTTCTCACGTCTGATACTTTTTGTGATTTGACTTTTGTTTTCTAGAACGCTCACATTTTGTAATCATTTTCGATCAGCGCAGTTTAAGTGGCTTTTATAATACATTTATAAATGCTGACTGTTTGATTTCAGTACATTCTTGTTTTTATTTTCCCATTTGTGCGCATCATGTGATTGCCTTGGGTCTCTTGTGTTTCTAACAAACAGCAGTGCAATCCAAGCTGCTAATTCTTGTATGTTATTCTTTCTTATAATCCAGGAGGAACTGACCAGTACCAGTGTAGAGCATATTATTGTCAACCCCAATGCAGCGTATGACAAATTTAAAGACAAGAAGATTGGCACTAAGGGACTAGGTGAGTTTTTAAAGTACAGATTTTGTGGTAAGATTTGACTTTCTGTCATGGCTGCGGAGGGAATTGGCCCCCAGTTGGTGCAGAGATGAGAATAACCTGAAATAGAAAAAAATACAGTAAGGCAAGCAACATCTGGATGATCTTCTCTATTGTGTGGTCAAAGGCATAGGACCCTGTAATACTGCTGGATGAGGTAAAACCAAAACTGTGTTCAAAACATAACCCATTTTTTGTTTTTGTTTTTAATGCAGACAGTCTTAAGCCAATAGGTAAAAATAGTGCATGCATGGTTGCAAAACTATGTGTCTTGTGACCTTTTCTATAGGTTTCCCATCTGTAGTGCAGACATTGCAGCACGAAATAGGATTTAATGACTTCTTGGCTTGATCACGGCTGGCTGCACAGCTCAGAGGTCATTGGATTTCTCTCTGTCTCTCGTATATGCATAAGGAGCAGAGCAATTCAGTAACAATGCCTTTTTAATTGTTTTAGATCTCTGCATTTAGTAAAACAAGTAATTTTGTGGCTGATAAAATAGCAGGAGAGAAGTAGGATTAGGGTGGGGAAAGAACCGCTCTATTACATGCCGTTTCCTGATCGTGGTACAGAGAACTTCCTGTGGTGGAGTGATTGCATCACTTAACTCACATGGTATATCTACCTTCTTCACCTGCCACTAATGCCGAGGAAGTTAATAGAATAGACTCTGCAAGATGGCTGATAATAGAAAAATATGGACAAAGCAAATGGTAACGCAGATTTGCAAGTTTGAATGCATGCAATATTTTGCGTGTTTGAATTGAAAACACTGCTATTGTCTGTGGAAAAGCTGGATAGATTTATCTTCTATTTGTCCTGGTGACCATTGCCGGTTTGCACCAGAACCGGTATATCATTCAATGAAGATTCTTGTTTCTGTGAAAGCTGCTTAAGAGGGGATTTCCCCATATGCTTTGGAAATATTTTCTCTCACTTCTGTTGTCTCCAGCACATGAAATGAAGGGAAAACTTGCCAAAGAACACATACAGCTAAAAAAATAAACTGGCCCTACTCAATTTGAAACTATAAAGAAAAGTTTTGACTATACAAGCACCTTTTACCTGGGATGTAAAAATACAAGGACATTAGTTCTTAAATATAAAACAATGTTTTCATTTAAAGAGGAAGTTCTTTTTTTATGGCAGTCAGAATAGTGCAAATGCATTCATGCTCCCATTATTTCATTTGTAGATTTCTCTGATCGAATCAGCAAGTCAAAAAGGACAGGATATGAATCTGGCGAGTATGAACTGGTAAGTATTTGGTTAATGCTATAATGTATTTTCATAAATGTTTGTTTTGTTCTGGTGATGAATGAAAATGTCAGGGGGTACTGTCATTGAATGGTTGTTCAGGGGGAACTCGGGGTGCTAGCAGTGAGTGCGCGTTCGGGGGGGGTGGTTTGGCCATGTCAGCGGCTCTATCCAGCATCCCGCCCAGTTTACTGACGTCACTGGTTGCCAGGTGCTTGACAGGACATATTTCACATGCTATCAATTTGTGTCCTTGTGTATGAGGATTAATACTGTTTAAAATGTATTCTTTTTCAAAGAGTATTTTGTAAGGAGGGGCTTACAGTTGGTTAAAGGATGTGCTTACCATGCGTTCCTGATGGCAAGTTGAAAAGGTGCCGAGTTAGGCTGGACTTGCACTGTTCTGTCTGTGTGCATGCAGCGCACATGTAGGTGTGAAAGGTCCTATAGAGTTTGCCTTTTCTTTCACAACCTGCAGCACATGGATATAAACCAGCCTCATATGAAATAATGGAATTTTTGCTTGGAATGCATTTTGCTGCATCAAAATGGACAAGTGTGAGTAGGCCTCTGTACCGCCCTCAATGCACACAGACCCATTGCCTTTTATTCCTTCTCTGCTGCCAGTGATAGAAAGGAAAGATCTGTACAAAGGCCATCTGAAATCCCCAGGCAATGGATGCTTTTGTGTGAATTTTTGGGTTGTAGTAACATTGCATGTAAGTAGGGATGTTCAGATGCCAAGTACCGTACTCTGTACAAGTACAGATACTTTTCCAGCTCCAAGACTAGACTAGAGAAAAATTCAGAAGTTAGGAGGCAGCTGTCATTTGTAAGGAGCACACGGAGCTCCTGGGATTTGTTCATCCCTGTTTTAATGTATGATAGTTTTTTTATGAAGATAGATATCTATATATACCAATACCATTTTTTTCACGTACAAGTACTCACAGATACAAGTACAATACGTTTTTGTTTATTGCCATGCGACACTTTTTCTAAAACAGTACAGACAAATAATTTCAGGACAGTGGTGGAGCGCCACAGCTAGGTCCCTGCTGCAACCCTGGTAGTTCTCAAGAAAATGCTAAGTATTGGCACTGGTATCTGAACTAGTATCTGGACATCCCTACATGTAAGCATACCATCAGGTTCAAATTAGTGTATCTTGATGACCATATTTATCGGCCTACATTAATGCATTGATTACCTAACCCCCAGCTCTCCATTTATGGTCCAGATCCATTTGAAGGAAAGTGTCCTTTTGGAGTTGCATGGAAAGACTAGGATTCCGGGGTTTTTTCTGTTTGGCTAAAGAAGGGCAAATCCACTGTCCATGATTTTAATGCTGCGTGTAGGGAGGTTTCTCTTCACTTCCTGTAACAGCAGTCTTCTGGCCAGAAAGTGAGGTGAAATATACCCAAGTGGGACAGATCAAGCAAGAAGTATGTTACTGAGGTTCTAGCCTGTCTCCGATGTATCCAAAAATAAGTATTTTCTATGGAATCCCGTTTTATTAATGGGCTTGTTTTTTCCTGGAATAAAATGTAGTATTGTTACTGCACCTTATTTGTATTTCTTTTGTAGCTGGGGGAAGGAATTGGCCTCAAGGAGACCCCGCAACAAAAGTATCAGCGGCTGCTTCATGAAGTACAGGAGCTGACGCAAGAAGTGGAGAAGATACAGGTGAACAACAAAGCAACCTTTCTTAAAGTCTAACACACCACCTTGGTCATAAGATTGCAAAAAAAAAAAATGTCATGAAAGTAATGTTGCTCTGGGTGAATTCTATAATAAGCTCCTAATGCATAATCCTCCTATTTGTCTGCATAGAGCACTGTTAAGGAATCCGCCACTGAAGAGAAGCTGACTCCAGTTGCACTGGCCAAGCAAGTGGCCACATTGAAGCAACAGTTAGTTTCCAACCACTTAGAGAAGTTACTAGGCCCTGATGCTGCCATCAACCTGACAGATCCTGATGGAGCTCTTGCAAAGTAAGAATAACAAACATGACCCTTGTGTGATAATATCTGGGTAATAACCCAATCCTCTTTCATAGTACACTACTGACTTCTCAAAATTAGTAAATATTGAATTATGTACATAATGGTATACAGATGTGATAATAGAATGTGTTTGATATTAGGCTGACATGCCTCAAAAAATGTGGAATGAAGTCTTTTATCTAATGTTGGATTTTAGGCGGTTGCTAACTCAGTTGGATGTTGCTAAAACCAGGAAGAGCCCAGAAGGCAAAAGCCCAGCAAAGGGATCAGACAAAGATGGGGGCTTGGTCACCTATGAATTACATTGCCGTCCTGAGCAAAACAAATTTACCCAGGCTGCTAAGGTAATGTGCTGGCTGGCACAACTGTGATCACATTTATGATGTCATTATGATGTAATGATGATTTGTGTATAAAAAACATTAGATGAGATTTCTAGTAAACACTGGTCGTTTTTTCCTTACAATGCTATGCTGAATAACCATTATTTAGTTCTTTGAATGGTAACACATTTTTAGTTCCTTTTAACCCTTTCCTGCCTTCAATTTGTTAATTTTCCCCTCTCTCTCTCTCTCTCTCTCTCTCTCTCTCTCTTCTCTCTCATCATAAAAGGATTAAAGTTGTTGAAAACCTGTTTCTGAACAGACACAACATAAAAACAAATGTTCACCATACCATGAGCTTTCATTTTTTAACTCCTTTGGTATGATGTTGCCATCATTAGGTAGACATTGATGTGCATCATCTTCTTTATTCAGAGGGAATTTATCTTCCTTGCACATTGCACAGGGTTGCTTTTTTCTTTTAAAACACATTCCATATGGTGCACTTACTACAACTACAGATCATATTTGGTTGTCTATAAATGCATTTACCTATCAGCCACAGTAAATCTGCAAAAGGATTAAAGTTGTTGAAAACCTGTTTCTGAACAGACACAACATAAAAACAAATGTTCACCATACCATGAGCTTTCATTTTTTAACTCCTTTGGTATGATGTTGCCATCATTAGGTAGACATTGATGTGCATCATCTTCTTTATTCAGAGGGAATTTATCTTCCTTGCACATTGCACAGGGTTGCTTTTTTCTTTTAAAACACATTCCATATGGTGCACTTACTACAACTACAGATCATATTTGGTTGTCTATAAATGCATTTACCTATCAGCCACAGTAAATCTGCTCAATGAGGCAGGATAGGAGGAATTACACTGGGTCTGGCTGACTGTCCTGTTTACATAGGTTTGAAGTAATATTTTTCGTGTCTGTTACATTGACATTGGTTTTGACATAAGATATCTTTTTTTACTTGTTACAGTTGGCAGAGCTTGAGAAAAGACTGGGTGAGCTGGAATCTGCTGTGCGCTGTGATCAGGACCCACAGGCAAGTTATTGGCATGTCGTACAGTAAATTCATTCTTATTTTGTTCTCATCTAGAGGTGATAGACATTGGCTCTTTTGTTGTTGCAGAATCCTCTCACGGTTGGATTGCAAGGATCAAATCTCATGGTATGTAGCTTGTCCCTTTATAAGTGTGAAAAACTATAATAAGCACCATCACTCCTAAAGCTATGCTACAAAATGTTTACTGAAAACAAGCATGCTGGAATCAAGGTAGGGACAGCAGGTAATGCTTTGTATTTTATTTTTGTCTGCCCCAGGATACTGTAGAAATACTACAAGCTAAAGTGAACATGTTAGATGTTGCATCGCTGGACCAGGTGGAGGCCAGGCTGCAGGTAACCATTTTTACCTCTATGATTTGTATGTCAAGAAACTGGTGTCCAGAAGCAGAATCTCTCTTGTTCATACATATGTGTAAAATAGCCTTGTGTTTTATTCCACAGAGTGTTTTGGGGAAGATGAATGAAATTGCAAAGCACAAGGCAGCAGTTGAGGATGCAGACACGGAAAGCAAGGTATACGTTTAAAAAAAATTTAATTGTGTGTGTGTATAATATATATATATATATAATTTGTGCACCCAAACCATTGTGCAGCTTTTTCCAGTTTTGGCCCTCCTATTTAGCATAAACCACACAACAATGGACACAGCTTTGGTCATGTGTCAAGGCACCAAGAGGTGTGGCAAATGCGAAATATTCTGCTATCAACATTTGATCACATTATGGAGTGGAGATATTTAAATGCAGTTTATTGGGTTTAGGTGTGCTTTAAAAAGAACTCATGCTGTGGAACCTGTGCCCGCAAAAAACCCCAAGAGGAGCAAGACTAGCTATTTGGAATTCCTGTAGGCTCCCTGTAGCTGATCTTTTCCATGTTACTGACTTGCTGTGCCTTGTTCCATACTCTGTGTGGATTCAGCCATCTTGGTAGAGGAGATGTCTTTGCTTCCTCACGTCAGAGCTGCCCCCTGATAATTAGTGGGGTATTATTTAAGAAGCGACAGGAAAAATGGAAATACAAACAGATCCCCACCCCCCTCCCCAAGGAGTTAAAAAAAAAAAGCAGAAGCACAGATAACTTGCAGAGCAGGTTTTCTTTCCAGCAAAGAGAACAGCACATTAGTGACTTTACCAGATCCCATTCGAAAACTCCTTGAGGGCAGCAGTGAGGGCAAGCAGTGCCTTAGACCTCACACTGCAGATAGATGCAGATAGGGTGTAGACATAGGAGTCCATGGTATAGGATATGTTTTTGTGTTACATATCCGCTGAAAGGATACATAAAGTAGTCAAAATGAGTTTCTTTTAATGAAAGAGCTGTTCCCTGTTAAATTTGATTATTCTCTTACTGTACACTAACTTGTCTGTTTTCACAGGTGCACCAGCTCTTTGACATTGTTCAGAAGTGGGATTCCATGTCTGGCACACTGCCCCAGGTTGTACAAAGGCTGGTGGCATTAAAGCAGCTTCATGAGCAAGGTAAATAATCAGGCTGTGATGAGAGGTATTGGTTTCAGCAGGCTGTTTGCTATTGGCCAGTCAGCAGAGTCCACGCTCTCGGATTAGAGAGCTCTAGCTGCGATTTTAGATGGGGGCGTGTTGGACCTCTGCAGGAAGACCACTGCTTCCACATAGAAACCAAGGGTCCTTCTTTGAAGCATGCCATCAGGGGACAGGATTTTTTGCTCAGGCTGTGTCTGTGTTCTATAGAGAATGAACCTTTTTTTTGTTTTGATGCTGCTGGAATATATTTAGCTGATTTACAACTGAACTCCAGTCAAATATTACTATCTAGTGCCCCACCCCAAATATTGAGGGTGTGCGTGTTGTTTTCCATTGTAAACATAGTCATTGTGAACATTTCTATCAGAACCTAATATTTCAGGTATATTATGGCGCATAGAACTGGCAGTAGTGCTTCACTAGCCAGTGATTTTCTTCCAGGTTGTCTCACATGGGAGGTTTTTTGATTGCTTGTATGTGCGGTTTTAATAAAGTTCTGAGTTGTCCCATCTGCAAATACAAATCCAGAACTAATGTAGACATTCCTTTTACTTTCCAGCCATGCAGTTTGGCCAACTGCTCACCCATCTGGACACTACGCAGCAGATGATTGCAAATTCCCTGAAGGACAACAAAAGTGCTCTTGCCGTGGTAAGTTTCCGCAGTTTTATACCTAGTCATTTCAATTCTGACTGCAGTTATCAATAGGACAGGGAAGAGTTACATTATCTGTCCAAATGACACAGACACCCCTGACAATTGTTGGATTTCCCTTATTGGTCACTTGTTAATGGCTGGCTAGGGAAGTCTACTTCTTCTGCTTTGTGCCATAAAAGTGCTGCTGAGTGTGTATAAACAAAAATATGTACTTGCAACCTTTGTGGATCGGTATTTGTGCAGATCTGTACAGGTATTCCCAAACGAAAATAGATTTATATTAAAGTTTTTTTGCATATATCTATGGCTAGCAAGCAGTAGATATATGCAAAAACTACAAAAAACAAAACCCTTTTGAAACAGGTTTGAGCTTACCTGTGTCTTCTCCGCGCGCTCCCGTCCAAACATCTGAAGAGTCTCAGGTGGCTGCAAAGGATCTTGGGGCGGTCGCATGCGCAGTTCAGATGTTCGGCCGGGGGACGAAGAGAGACGCAAGGTAAGTCTATGGAGCAGCGTGCACCCGCACAGACTCCGTGGGACATGAGAGAAGAGGAGGACAGAGGAGTCAGCGCTGGATCGGAGACCCGCACCGGCGCTGGAGGGACAGCTGAAAAGGACAGTAAGGAAGAAGATGATCGAATAAAGAGGCATGATTTAAGGTAAGTCCCGACACTAACATGAGGGTGGAGGGAAGCCTTTAATGTCACTTTAAATTACATTACAACTTTGACTGGATTTAAAAGCGACCTGCTGCTGTAAAGTCTGTTAGTCATTGCCATGACACTTGAATAGACGCATCAACGCCTAAACTTGGCAGATTTGTTTGGAAATATCATGGTGATCTTCAAAATAATGCCTAATAGCAAATGAGAGGACAACCTACACCCACAACTGATTTATGGTGATCGCCTAATTCTGGCTCTCATTTGAGTCACTCAACACTTCTCAGATCAGTGGCGTGTAAGTGATGTGATTTAGTTTTCAGTGTAGTGGCAGAAAATATATGTGCTTCGTCCCAGGTAAGACATTACCCTTACAATTTCTTTTGGCAACATTGTGAGCAGTCTCACAAAACACACACTGCAAAATCATCACACAATAGAAATCAAGGCACACAGATGGAGTACATATACAGGAGCCGGTTTACCTGCCAAAGGATTTGCTGTCTGTCCACCCAGTTTTGAAATGTACAGATGGCCAGATGTAGTCACTTATAATCCTGTACTGGACAGGAAGTTCAGGGAAGCTGAGCTGAGAGATCCTGAGTCAGCTGTTCAGAAACAAGATGATTGTAGGTGTTTGGGCATAAATGTGAGGCAATGATTTGCTGGGCAATGTATATTGGATCTGGATTCATTATTGAAAGTTGAATACTACTTTAAGCCTGCACACGATGAATTAATTATAAACCTGATTTCTGACTTCCCTTTTTTCAAACCTGGGAAACCATTTTGGAGCAACACTGCAGAATTAATCAGCAAACCTGTTTGCACTTGTACAATTCTGTGAACCTTTCAGGAAGCTGATCTAAAAATATCTGTGCAAAAGTACAATTGATTGGAAAGTTATGCTCAGCACAATGATATTCTCTGCATGTGATCTATTATTTATAAATGTCATGTTCTGCTTTTTTCACATAAAGCCAACTCCATCAAAGACTTTACTTAGTTTGGGAAACAAGAATGAGAACATCCAGTGGGCTTTTATTGCGGTCTGTGACCTTATTAGGGAAATTTACCCTGACTTGCGTTGCTGTGATATCGGGACACGAAGGGATGGAAATGAGGACCACGAGAAGACGTTATTAATATTATCTGTACCATCAAGTCAGTGTCAACCCTGGTGACCATATGGATGGAATTTCTCCAAAAAGATCTCTCCTATTTGGCTCTTAAGTAGTAATGCACCGATATATCGACCGCCGAAACATATCGGCCGAAAATGGCACTTTTGGCATAATACCGAAAGTGCCATTTTCCTGCCGATACATCGGCGCATCCCTGCTTTCTTTACTCCCCGCTGGGCGCTGCTCTGTGTCCCAGGGGGAAGGAGAGAAAGTGTGACGGCCGAGCGCTGCGGGAGGAGAGCGATGTGAGCGGCCGGCGTCTCCTCCCACACTGCTCAGTGTCATATCACAGTCCGGCAGAGCGGTGTGGGGGCGGAGACAGGCCGCGCTGTCACAGTAGGCTGAGCTCTCCTCCCTGCACCGCTCGCTCAGCCCCCTGTGACAGTGTGTCAGAGAGGAGAACGGGTACAAGCAGTCACTGATCAGTGATCGCTGAGTGTTTGTACATAATTGAGGACATGGTATGTGTACTATATCTTCAATTATGAAAGAATTGTGTCAAGGAGTAAGGAAGACCTAAGCTCCCTCCTGGGAATCTGAATCAAGGGAGTAGGGTTTTACTGTTTGCATACCTACTAGAGCTCTCTGGTCTTTTGGGCTACTTTGGCGGGGTGGGTTCCACAAGGTAATGTCATTTTTTAATTTACGCAGTAGCTTAAAGCAGTTCTATTTTACATTCCTGTATTTGGAGGGATAAATCTTGGTGGTCACGTCTGCCTGCTTGCGTAGAGATGTACTGCAAAATCAAATAGCACTTTCAATATATTTCAAGCTTTTGTAGGTGACACTCATTCTATATACTGTCCTTCTGTGCTTTGGTAAGATGTTGCATGTGACATTAGTGAGAATGCTGATGAAGGCATCACCATTTCTACTTTTTCTGTGCAGGTCCAAAAGGCCATGAAGGAGAATTTAGCTACGGTGGGGGACAACTTCTCTGCTATCGACTCCAGAATAAAGACACTGAACAAATGAGGGACATCTGATCTTTACAAGGCCCATTCCATTTAACATCAAAAACAAGTTCCTGCAAACGCTGCACTATGAAATTGCTCCAAATTCCCCTTGCCTGTAAGGAAGGTTTTACCATTGTGTAAATATATATATATATCTATAGTCCTTGTTGGCCTCCAGTTTTACCCATTCCTCTGCTCCTTTCCTGAGAATGCTTCTGCTCCTCTCCTGTCCCCACTCATGCACGGGACGCTTATGTGCCTATTGGATCAGGTGCTCTTATCATGGTTCCAGTGCACAGGAACTATAGCATTCTTCAAGGTGTTGCGTTTGCATGTTGGTACTTGCCATATGGACAGGGAGAATGTGGGGATGAGGGAATTTTCTTAGGCCTTTTATTTATATCTGTATGTTATCCCTGTTAAACTCTCCAGTGCAGAATGTCCTTCAGTGTCTATCTGAACTGAACACTGAGAATAATATAAGAGCTTTGCTGGCTTGAGGGGAATTGTTCCACACTAACTGTCTTCTCTGAAAATAAACAAGAAGTAAATTATAAAGTACATTGTACTGTAACTTTATGGTGTCTTGTTGCTTTTTCTTACGCAAAATGTATCGTTGTTACGTGGTTACCTTGTTATATGTGATGGATTTATTTTCAATCCTAAAGGCAAACATAAAGCTGTTGGCGCCAAGCCAGTCAAAATACGTTCTGTTCTGTGAAATTGACACAAATTTGATTTTCTAGAGTTTAAAAGGTAAAGTCCACCTTTTCATAAATTAAAAAAAAATAATAATGATGCACACATCCTCATAAAAGAAACAGTGCATGTAATATTTATATCCATTGGAGCCAGTAAAGCATTGCAACCTTGGAGTGGATCGCGGGTGAAATGCTCTGGCAGATTCTCCCTCCTGTCCATGTTCGTAAGGAGGTACAGAGATTCAGTAACATGGATGGGAGGAGGTATGGAATACGGGTGCAGTGACATCATATGTCATGTGACCATGTTATACCTTTTTAATATGGATGTAGCATGAAACATGGTCAGAAAGGTAAACTTAGCAGCTTAATAAGAGCAGATTGGCAGCGGTCGTGTAGTGTCCTAGTATTTTCAGCATGATCATAGGCATGTCCTGAATAGGAGTGTAACAGGAAACATATAGTTACATAGTTACATAGTATTTGAGGTTGAATAAAGACATTAGTCCATAAGAAAGGTGAAAAGAACCTGTCACCACTAGACTGCTGTTACATCTGGGGCTTGTTAGCCCTTATGTCATAGCAAAAAAGTTACGTTCAAACAAAATGCTCATGCCAGAGTAAGAGCAATCATTCTAGGGCCATTATTTAAAGGAGAACTATGAGGTGAGTGCTTTTCACTCACCTCATAGTTCTAGCCGACCTGTGACAATGAGACTGTCACAGGTCGGCTCAGTAGATCGGGAGGTGAGCGAACACATACCGGCGTTTGCTCACTTCTCGATCCTGTCACAGGGGTTAAAGGAGACCCCATAGTTCTCCTTTAATCTAACTTGATGACCCGTACCGGCTTTCAAAGCATCACTCTTGGACAATTGTGGGTACCATAGCCTTTCTCTGTTTCACAGGTGCAAGCAAGTTGAAGTTAGAGGGATGCCATGAACGTGTCTGTAAAGTGGCGCATCTGTAAGATGTATGCAATGTACTCCAGCAAAAGTGACATTTACAAAGAAAAGGAAAAAAAAACTTTTGCCACTAAACATTTTCCTTCTGGTTTTTTTTTTTAAAAAAAACATCATGGGTACCCGCCCAAAATCTAACAAAAGGTGTTGGTAGTTGGGCACTGCCCTGGGGGAAATGTACCATGCATAAACAATGCTCTGGCTGGGGAAGAAGCTGCTTGAGCATGGCTAACGGCAATTTAAAAAACAGACCTGCACTATAATGCAAACATCGCAAGACACAGGCTCCTTTTAACCCCTTCATGACTGAGGCCCTTTTTTCAATTTTTGCAAATTCTAGGGTTAAGTGGCTGCTGCTTTCAAGTGATTGGACACTGGCAAGGAAGGCTGTAAGGACAGCTGTATGTAATCTTTCCCACTTCCAGCAAGTCTCAATTTTTGCCACTGTGTTTAGCTGTTGGCTGTCCTCCTCTCACAGCTATGAGAGCGATACAATTGTTTTCCTTGAGGGAGGTTTTCACGAGATGCGTCTTCTAGCATGATTTTAGACTGCTCCTTAGCCACTGAGGCTTACTTTCCAGCTTCCGGATCCTTTGACTCCTTGGACCCTGTCTGGCAGGGGTTGGTCTTTAATGTCACTTCAGGCACTGGAGCCTGCTAAAAGTTGCTCACCATGGCATGTAGTGCAACACTGAGTTAGCTACAGGGTGCGATACCGGTCCATGCCTCACCACATGGCAGATCACAAGCACAAGGGGAGTGGGTTAGCAGTCCATATGGGCCTACTCTCTAATGGCTCCCTATGGGGCATCTTCCCTGAGTCCATTTCTGAGTCTCCTCTAGACACTTCTGCATTTCCTGAAGGGGAAGATGGGAATGAATCTTCCTCAGATTCTGAGGAAGTGCAGGAAGATTCCTGATCCATTGATACGTGTCCTCACCAGCTAGGCTCACTAAAAAATACCTCGGCCCTGAAAGACCTTCCCGCTCCTACAGCCGGTGTTGTACAGTGATTGGCCTCACCCTGAGAAGATATGAACCTGTCCCTATCATGGCTCCTGCAAATTCTTACCATAACAATACCCTAATGGTGCCTGTTGAGGATTTCCCAGTATTCCAAACTCCTGTGGGCAAGGGGTTGGAAGCCCTCTTTCAGGACTTATTTTTCCCTTACAGACCCTGCCATGCAATCTGTAGTTGCAGCCATTTTTTGTTTTTAAATCGGTCAGGATCAAATCTTTGGCTTGAGGCCCTTGTTATATTCCAACAGATCCTTTTATCATCCAACAGTTTGAGCTCCGCCCTACGGACTTGTGTTATGTTGTGGAAGGCCTGGCAGACTCGCTTTTTCAGATTTCCATAATGTGCCTCGTTTATGTGCGTATGAGGAGGACCTTCTGGCTAAAATGTTGGTCTGCAGAGCTTCCCTGCAAGAAATGTCTCTGGCATATGCTCTTTGAAGGGGAATGCCTTTTTGGCGAGTCCTTTTATTACTTATATCAAGGAGGTAACATAGCAAGAGTAGCCTCATTCCACAGAAAAAAAACTAGCGCTCCTACTAATAAGCATTCGACCCCACACACCAAAAAGAGGTCCATTCATTTCTCTCAGCCCTTGGGGCCTAAATCTAATCCCAGAACTCAGGTATGCCACAAGGTCTGGTCCTTCTCACAATGGAGGGTCCCCACTTGTCAAAGTGGTAGGATGTCTGTTGGCCTTCGTGGTCATCTGCCATTGAATGCAGCTACACTCACCAGCTGTCTCTCCCAGACACAGGTTTGTGCGCATCCGCGTGAAAGAGACCTAAAACATCCTCGGGAGATTTCTCTCCACTGTCTTAATGCAGTACGTGCTGTTCAGGTCTACGTTTCTGCTACAGCTTCGTTCAGTCGGATTATTTCTTCGTCATTCCTGAAGGTACCCCAATGGTGCTCTCTACCTCCTGCTAAGCTTATGTTTTAAAAGACAAGTTTCCTCCTTTTATTTATGTTCTTTGTAAGCACATTGCACCATACTAATTAGTGCTTTGCGGGCTTTTCTGGATCAAGCATTTGTTTCCCAGATTTGCAAGGTGGCCACCCGGTCTTCCGTTCACACATTTAAGTTCTACTAAGCAGATGTTCAGGCCTCCTCTGATGTCAGTTTTGGTCCTAATGTGCTTCAAACTGCGGCCTGAGTTCTTTATTATTATTGCTTGCTGGGAGTGGGATAGCTTACATAGGACTGACCTTATAGCTTTGGTTGCCAATGTTGAAGCTCCTGAAGACAACTGCATATAACCCAATGGTCTAAGAATGAAAGGAGCTGTAATGTACTCCAAGAAGAGGAAGATAATCCAACTTTTTACTCCCTGTATTCATCTTTTCCAATATATATGGCATATAAACTTTACAAACATTAAAAAGCCAGTACTGAGAGGATATAGAGGTTGCCATTGCCAACCTCTCTTTGTGCAAACTGATAGTTCCCTGGCTGTCATGCTGATTCTGTAACTAGTATCTCAGTCACTTATCCACAGCATGTATGCAAATCAGGAGTTGTGACTTTTGTTCCAGGCCAGTGACTCGGTACTGGAGACAGCTGGGCTAGCCTTCTGAAGAGGTGATTAGTAAGGGTAATACTTGAATTTATTTTGGCATTTTGGAAGGGTTTGCATGACTATTCTAAAATGAGAAGTTTCTTTTTTTTTGGATACGTGATAGAATGATGCATAGTAATACCTTACAGTCTAAAGTGGAACTACTTTGCTATGAACTGGCTCAGTGGAGGGCGTTTTTTTGTTGTTTCTTTTGTCCCTTCTCACCACCATTCGGGTTATAAAATGATCAGCATGTCAGCCAAGCAACTAGCATAGTAAAGAAAACCAATGCGCTGACATAATTGGTACATGCACCTGAATGGGCAGTTATATTGTAACACACACAGCACGAAGCATGTGTACTAATGCACCACAATACTGTGAATGGGCTCTAAGCAAGTAGCTGCTTTGGCAACAGCATACACAAAGTCTTTATATTCTGATCTTGGAGAACTTCAGCAATTTGCTAAATAAAATTAAACTAGGTTTTGCCAGTGCTCACCTATTGGGTAAAAAGCAAACGATTGTCAAATGAGAAAGTGAAATCTGGAGATCAGTTGGCCCATTTATACTCTTTATAATACAAGCATTTACCTCTAGTGACCAATCAGATCCCTGGTTGTCAAACTCAATTTAATCGAGGGCCGCATCAACATTATGGTTGCCCTCAAAAGGTATCTGCAAGACTATATAAATGTATCTAATCTTTATCATAATTGCCTCTGCATTTGATTATCACTGGTTTTAGTAATAACACAATACCTAGATCTGAAAGTAGAAGTCTAGAAAATGGCTTGTTGGGCCGGATTCGGCCCCTGGGCCTTGAGTTTGACATGTGCTCTAAAGAATAAAAGTTGAAATTTGATTGGTCACTACAGGAAAGCACTCTACTTTTGTGGAAAGCTTTCTTATTTCCAGTTTGGTGTGAGTCGTAAAAACTATTTTGATCGTGCTTTTTGTGGCGGTAAATTTAGTTAAACTCCAGCCAAAAAGCACAGCCAATCCAATCAAAATAAAACACAGACACGCTTGTTCTTAAACATATTACCACACTTTTCATTTTAATACTTGATACAAAATAAAACAACCCCTCAATGATCAGAAAACATAAAATCTAAAAATGTTTCAAAATATTTTCATCTGTTAAATTAAAGTCAACCTCCATATAAAAAGCTAAAATTCACAAATGTAAAAATTTTGCCTTGTTTTCCTTTATTTTGTACAAAAAAATATTAAAAACTTAAAACGGGAAAATATTTTACATGAAAAGGCAGAAATTGATACAAAATCATTGTTTTTTTTTTGTCATTTTTTTTTTGCCTTAGAAGTA